CACCCACACCTTTTCAAGGAAGATGTTAAACTGTGGTTCTGTCTTCCCTGACATGTATAGGAAGTCAAGTAGTGAAGAAACTGAGGGCAGAAACATTGTCTTATAAGTTTCCATAGTATTCCAGGCCTTCGTCATAAACAAGACAGTAAAATATCAAATGGGTTATTGCTATACACTTGCCGTCTTAAGATGCTGAGTTCTTGAAGGTCATCTTCATTGTGTAGTCTCATGTGATTATGTTATTTCATCAACTTTTATTGCTTTAACACCACCCTATGATGCCACACCAGAACTAAAAACTTTTACGGAAATTTAAAGAGTAGAATCAATGTGCAGTTTGCAGGAGGAAACTGCTTTCTTTAGAGGAAGAGGAGCAATTCTACACAGCCTGTGCATTATGCTGACAGAAAGAAATGACAGCCTTCCACTGCTTGCGATCGCTTCTAAGAAAAATGCTTTCCACTTTTACATACCGTATTAGTATAATCAAGCAAATATTATAACTCTAAAATTTCAGAGACTGTAATAGCAACTAAGTTTGTTAACATTACATAAATTTATTGTGTTTCACCTAAGAATTCCAGTTTACTGGAAACCAAATGTCCTAAACTAGCAACCTCCGAGTGTAGTTCATCACTGTCCTGCTGCCTAACAATTCTACGCATTACTGGAGAGAGTATAATTCTTCAAAGGGGAAGGGAAACAGAGCAAGTGTGTATAACTGCAAGCTAAGGATGTTGGTTTTAGTCGTAGATTATTTACTCATTAGCTTTGTGATTGTGATCAAGAATAAGTTGCTTTAACCATTTGTGCAACATCAGTTTTCTTTATCACGTAAAGGGGATGATAGAACCTGTTCCATACATTTTATATAATTCTTAATGTTAAGTGAGATATATATATTTAAAGCATGATATTCAACTTCTCCAATACCAAATCTGTATTAGTTAGAATATCCAGAGAGACAGAACCAATAGGATATGTGCATGTGTGTGTATATATATAGACACATGCAAATATATATACACATACATATGTGTACATATATGTATATACATATATGTGTATAATATATATATTTATATACACATATATACACAATATATACACATATATATAATACATTATATATACACAATATATACACATATATACACATACACATTATGTATATATACATAATACATTATATATACACAATATATACACATATATACACATACACATTATGTATATATGTGTATATATTGTGTATATATGTGTATATAAATATATATACATATATAAAAACATGTGTATTGTGTATATATGTACACATATATATGTGTGTATATGTACACAATATATACATATTTTTATATGTATACATATATTTATATTGCGAGAGAGACACACACACACACACACACACACACACATATATATATGAGGGGATTTATTAGGAGAACTGACTCACGTGTTTATGGTGGCTGAGAAGTCCCATGACAAGCCATCCACAAGCCTGAGACCCCAGGATGCATGGTTCAGGCTAAGTTCAAACGCCTCAGAACCAGGGAAGAGGATGGTGTAAGTCCTAGACTGAGGCCGAAAGCCTCAACACCCTAGGGTTGCTGGTGTAAGTCCTGGAGTTCGAAGCCTGGTCTGCCTGGAATTCTGATGTCCAAGACCACAGAAGAAAAGTCTACCACAGTTTCAGAGAGAGATCAAGTCAACTTCTGAAATTGTTCTCACTGGGCTCTGGCCAATTGGATGGTGCACTCCAACACTGAGGGCAACATTCCCCATCTAGTCTACTCACACTCAAATACGAATTGCCTCTGGAAACATCCTCACAGACACATCTGAATTAATATTTCATCAGCTTTCTAGGTATTCCTTAATTCTGCCAAATTGACACCTAAAATTAAGTTCACAAGTCCACCACTTGTCAGCCTAGTGATCATGTACATCTCCTCAAACTATATGTTATTTCCAAATAAAAACAGTAACAAAGTTCCACGTAACACGATGCAAGCAACGTGATGTGACTATCCTGCACACAAGCGAAATGCCAATCTCTCTTCCAGAATTCAGCTTTCAGGATTTCAACATTCAGGATTTTAATCTTTCAGGATTGTAATTTTGGGAATTTTGGACTTTAGCAATTTAGATCCTCATCAAACTAGTTGATTTCAAATCCCTACTTTTCAACGTAAGTGTTATTCATTATTCTCCAGAGGAAATTATCAAAAATCTTTTAAAAACTAGAATATAAGTCCTATGCTTTATTAAAATTATGAATAAATAATTAAAATGCAGAGCCAATACATACATTTTCGGTATTTTTCAAACTAAGTGGATTAATATTAACATTTCATGAAACAGATACACATATAGCTCGACTCCAAACTGTCCATGAATTTATCTAACAAACAGAGAAAAAGGTGCTTGTAAGCAAGTCACAATTCTGATCTTATAGTTGACTGAGCTATTAAGAAGTTGTTGCAATAAGAACTGGGATAATAAAATGTTTTTGTTCAAATACATTACCATGAATACACAATTGTATGATTAATTGCAAAAAAGGATTGTCAAAGAGAAACCTGATTAAAATAATTCAACTGATCTAAGTTGCATTCCATTAGCATCATTTCCCTGACTAAGCTCTTCAATATTTCCCAATGAGCTGTACATACATATGTAGTATTATATAAAATCACCTTTTTGCTTAAATAAAATTATATTCTATAATAATCTATGTCTCACTATGATTATGTCATCTTCTAACTATATAACTTTCCACAGCAATGCCAGGACACAAATATCTGCCTGTTTTAATAGCTGCATAATATTCCATTGTAAAAGTATTCCACAACATATTTAACCAATCCCTTGTCAATGAATAGTTTTAATATTTCTAGGGATTTTTTGCTATAAAAACATTTCTGAGTGGATATACTTGAGTAGACCTCTTTGTACATTTTTATGACTATATCTGAAAGACACATTCCTAGATGTGGCATTCCTGAGACAAGTGTTTCTTAATAAATTTTTATATAGATTTAAAGTTCTATAGATATAGATAAATTGTCCTTCATGGTGATTATCCCACTAGTCCCACCGAAAGTATTCAATACTACCATTAATACTACGGATGGAAAAATGTTTTTCACAGTTTGGATTTGCATCTTTAAACTGTGGGGTTGAGTATCATTTCATATGTTTAAAAGTCATTAATGTTTAATTTTTCTTTGATTGAACTACTACATCAATGTTTTAGATTACTCATCTTTCATCTTTCCGTTTTTGCCAAAACTGTATTATATTAAAGACAATGGATAATTTTCTATTGTGCAATTTAGAAATATTGTTTCTCAATTGTTATTTTGACTTTTTTGCTCTATGCAAAAAAAGGAATATGCAATAGTTACATATATTTTCCTTTCTGTGTTCTGAATTTTGGGTCTTCTTTTATTAAGGCCTAATCTCATTATTTGGGTTTTGTCAAATAAAGTACTGGAAAACAACTGACTTTCCAAAGTAGAATAAATTATTTGTTTAAATGTTATTTGTGTTATGAAGTTGCTTACCAAATTATTTTCTACATGGATTTCAAGGGCAAACCACTGCCCATTACCTTGTAATTAATAGCATCCAAACTAATCAATATTCTGAAATTGTAATTTCTCAACAATGGTTATTTTCTGACAGCTCACAACAATTTTTTCAAAAAGAGGTGAAACTTGGGCTAGTTTCTCCTTCAGATGCTGTTTCTCCAGAAATGTGTCATATCTCTTTGATGAAGTCTTAACTTTCTTTTCTAAATCCCCAATATTCATTTTCCCTTATGAAAGATCACTCAATTGTCATCAGACTTCAATAATATTATCTCAAAAATGATGATTATGTATTTACCTACACACAACAGGATAGGGAAACAAGAAGTGCACTCAGGTTTAATAATTGCTTCTTTATCAACCCATGTCTGCCACCAGGCAGAGACCTTGTTTTAATCGTCATTGAATGTCCAGAACACCTAATTAAGAGAAGCTGCTCAACAGATATGTGAGCTCAAAGTGAAAGAATGAATGATTGAACAAACAGGGATTTCACCTTTCTGAGCCTTAGTTCCTTCTACAAAATAAAAGTTTGCCAGAAAGAATAGTAAGATAATAGATTTGATAGTAGTTTGAAAAATAAAACATTCAGAAAAGTGGTACTTTCTCCCAAAATTTTGTCTTCTTATTGATGTATTAATTTGTATGTCTATTCCAGAAATTTCTTTATGCTTTGGAAAGTTTTATGCATAATTTTGGCTTATTCAGTTCAATATGCATTTAATAAGCAAATATTCTTTTGTAAGATATGGAATATCGGAAATGCTGACTATGTAATACTGATTACAAGTATAAAATAAAATAGAGGCCAGAGGAAAATAATTCTCATCTAGGGAGAGTATCTTGGCTAATAAATTATTATTACATTATCTTTATTTTCACCATCCTCAGTATTATTGTGAAAAAGGCTTAGAGTTTCCATGAGGAAAGGCACTGTTAACTATAAAAGTCACATATTCAATATTATACATTCTATGCTTTCTTCTATAATTGTGTCCTCTCACTAGTTTACTAATTTTTATGTCTATTCCAGGAATTTCTTGATGTTTTAGAAAGTGTTGCTTGTAATTTTGGTTTATTTAATTCAATTTATCAGTATTATGCTAAGTTTCATTGATTGATGAGATATATAGTAGACCGCTAGATAGACAGATACTCATATGTGGATAAGGACATATTCAAAACATTATTGGACTTCAAGTTCATTGCCAGCCTGAAAGGTCCTTTTGAATCCTCCATTTAAAGGTCTTGCTTTTTATATGGGGAACTGAGGCAGGTAGACACAACAATCATGCAGGAGAAAGGGAATTGGGAGAAAATAATGTGGTTTAAAGGGAAACAACATTATGTATTTTAAAGCAATGTTTATATTATGTTTGTTAATTTTATTCTATTTCCTTGCAGGTTTAAATGTTTACTTGCTACTTGGCTACTGATTAGAGAACACAAAATGAATAACTCAACAAACTCCTCTAACAATAGCCTGGCTCTTACCAGTCCTTATAAGACATTTGAAGTGGTGTTTATTGTCCTGGTGGCTGGATCCCTCAGTTTGGTGACCATTATCGGGAACATTCTAGTCATGGTTTCCATTAAAGTCAACCGCCACCTCCAGACCGTCAACAATTACTTTTTGTTCAGCTTGGCCTGTGCTGACCTTATCATAGGTGTTTTCTCCATGAACTTGTACACCCTCTACACTGTGATAGGTTACTGGCCTTTGGGACCTGTGGTGTGTGACCTTTGGCTAGCCCTGGACTATGTGGTCAGCAATGCCTCAGTTATGAATCTGCTCATCATCAGCTTTGACAGGTACTTCTGTGTCACAAAACCTCTGACCTACCCAGTCAAGCGGACCACAAAAATGGCAGGTATGATGATTGCAGCTGCCTGGGTCCTCTCTTTCATCCTCTGGGCTCCAGCCATTCTATTCTGGCAGTTCATTGTAGGGGTGAGAACTGTGAAGGATGGGGAGTGCTACATTCAGTTTTTTTCCAATGCTGCTGTCACCTTTGGTACGGCCATTGCAGCATTCTATTTGCCAGTGATCATCATGACTGTGCTATACTGGCACATATCCCGAGCCAGCAAGAGCAGGATAAAGAAGGAAAAGAAGGAGCCTGTGGCCAACCAAGACCCCGTTTCTCCAAGTCTGGTACAAGGAAGGATAGTGAAGCCAAACAATAACAACATGCCCAGCAGTGACGATGGCCTGGAGCACAACAAAATCCAGAATGGCAAAGCCCCCAGAGATCCTGTGACTGAAAACTGTGTTCAGGGAGAGGAGAAAGAGAGCTCCAATGACTCCACCTCAGTCAGTGCTGTTGCCTCTAATATGAGAGATGACGAAATAACTCAGGATGAAAACACAGTTTCCACTTCCCTGGGCCATTCCAAAGATGAGAACTCTAAGCAAACATGCATCAAAATTGGCACCAAGACTCCCAAAAGTGACTCATGTACCCCAACTAATACCACCGTGGAGGTAGTGGGGTCTTCAGGTCAGAATGGAGATGAAAAGCAGAACATTGTAGCCCGCAAGATTGTGAAGATGACTAAGCAGCCTGCAAAAAAGAAGCCTCCTCCTTCCCGAGAAAAGAAAGTCACCAGGACAATCTTGGCTATTCTGTTGGCTTTCATCATCACTTGGGCCCCATACAATGTCATGGTGCTCATTAACACCTTTTGTGCACCTTGCATCCCCAACACTGTGTGGACAATCGGTTACTGGCTTTGTTACATCAACAGCACTATCAACCCTGCCTGCTATGCACTTTGTAATGCCACCTTCAAGAAGACCTTTAAACACCTTCTCATGTGTCATTATAAGAACATAGGCGCTACAAGGTAAAACATCTTGGAAAAAGATAGAAGGTGGGCAAGGGGAGCTTGAGAAGAATAAAAGGGATAACAGAGCTCCTAGTTTTAAAATCTCTGCCACTGCACTTTATAGTCTGATTACAAAACGTGCAATTCAGGAGCCCAGCAGTGACACACTTATCAGGCCTAGGCTCCAGTTTGCAAAAATTGCACCTTATAAACTGCCAGTATTAGGAGCAATGAGACAATGAAAGAAACATGTTGGGATTCTGGATTTACGAAACTATATACTCTTTCTCATACTCTCTTGAAGAAGGGCTTCTGAATCTACAATTTTATCAGTCTCTGCACAAGAGGAATAACCTTGTTCCTTTTTTGTTTCTTTTGTTGTTGTTGTTCTCATGTGTCCTTAAGAGAAGGAAAAGCCACAGTCACAAGGTAAACATGGAGACTTAAACATAAAGAAATAGGCACTATACAATGGGGACATAAAGAAAGAAAATCAAAGAAGGATGCAGAAATTGTCTCCAGAGTGTTAAGCATATTTTATTATTTTACAGTCCTATTTAGACGATTGCAATGTAATAAATGCTTATTTTTTGCCTTTCTTTTTCCCACCATGAAAAGAAAGCAAGCAAACAAAAACTCCAACTAGGTCACACCATTTTTCTTCTTGTTATGCCATTATTTTATACATCCCTGTTCTATATGGTTTACAGGCAAAACCTACAGGACTTTCACTAAATCTAGCCAGAGACAGCCATGAAAATGGACATTTCACCCCTCCTCAGTGTGTCCTTTGCATTCGTTGGGGGATATCAAGGCCTATAAGGATTTAGTGCACTTATGAGCCTATATGCGAAATGTTAAAACCAATCTGATTTTCTCCTAAATAGCCTTTTATTTCAACAGAATATCCTACCTAAAACATAAACCTGTTTAAGAAACCAACGTCATTTTGAAGTTGAGGTTACATCAAATTAAATAATGGACGATTTAGTTGCAGCAAGTTTATTAAAGTCAGGTGAATTTTAAGATTAAAAAATAGAAGTTTAGGACATTCTATTTCAACCCCTGTATGAAATGTTAACTTATAGTAAATGAACTCCTGACTTTGTCAGCAGAAAGGAATGCTGTTTTATTTATTTGGAATCCTAAAGAGGATTAACATACTCACGCAGCACCAGTGATTTCTCGGTCAGTCCCTAGAGAATAGGACCTTCTATCCAACGCCTGCTAAAGGATGATATTCAAATTATAATCAAGTGAGGTTGTCAGCAATTATCCTATGACCCCGTGAAAGGGGAAAAAAAGATATTTTAAAAACTATTACTGAAATAATTACATATTCCATATTCCTCAAATTGTCAATTCTCCCTAACGTTATTTAACTTCAAAATTCCCTTATCAGTAGAATTATAGTAATCTTTGTGACAGAAATGTAGTGGCTAACTAAATAGAGGACAAATGAGCTCACAGAATCTGACAGAAGGATGTAGGTGGCTGTTGCCATACCACCTCTCACCATCTAATTCCAGACCATAATAATCATGTCAGGAACTATTATCTAAGTGGTGGCATTATATAGAATCTTGCCACATAGAGATTTTTTATTTGGTCATCTAAATAAATATAGAATTAGGATTATACTGATTCACATGTAACTAGTTATTTTTATCCTTTATATTTTTCTTACACTATTTGCTGTAGTTTTCCAATGAGATTTTCTAAAAATGGCTCAATCTATAGAAATCAAATGATAAATGCATCTTCAAATTTCATATTTTGGATTTTAGATTTATGGTATCTTCTCCAGTAATAATAATGTTAATTATATGATAAATTTGTCAATATTAGATCCCAGCATTTAAAAGAGTTATTTTGTATAATTAGCCTCATTGATGCCACCTCAACAATTTGGAGAGTTAAGAAGGAAAAAAAGCATGAGGAAAAAAACCAAAAAAGTTGTAAGTTAGTAAGAAGCAAATTGCCAGCAGTATTTATATTTGACTTACCCTTCATAAAAACAATTTCCTGTCTAATTAACTTCAGTCATTACCCCCCAAATAATCTTCCATATTCAAAGCATTCATTTATATAGATTCCCTTACCTACAGTTACTTCAACATGCACTTTTACATTTTAAATTCGTATTTATTTTCATATTGTTTCTTCAAATAAATGAATCAAATGAATGGAAATACCATCAAGCCATTGGGCTCCTTGACTTTCTGAAACCCAGAGAATTGACTAGCCAAATATATCCCTTTTTAATTTATTGTATCATTATGATGTAGATTCGGCTTTTGCTGGGAAGAACCCTTTGGCATCAAGGATTCAGGATTCAGGGTCTGTTTTTGTTTGCTCTGACAATCCAAATCACCATGAGTCAAGCTGTCTTTTAGTCTCTGCTGCCATTGTATCCTTCCTTTTCTTCCCTCTGTTATTGATCCTTGCCACAGCCACTGCAACCTCATTGAAAGAGAAACTGTCACGTTAAAGAAAGAAATTGAAGATAGACTGCCACCACGGAAACTTTGTCAAACAGATCAGAAAATGGAAGGAATACTGAAAATGATAGATGATTGGAGAGATATGGAGATTATATTCAAGGATTTTTATTAACCACTGCTGGATTTGTCTATTTCAGTGGCGCTCAAACAGAGACAATTCCCTTCTCCCCGACAGGGGACACGTAGCAATGTGAAAAGACATTTTTGGTTGCCACCCTGGAAGGAATGCTATCGGTATCGAGTGCGTAGAGGCCAGGAATTCTGCTAAATAGCTATAATGCATAGGACATTTTCCCCCACCCCCTTTAAACAAATATTATTTGGCTCAAAATGTCAACGGTGCCAAGGTTAAGAAACTCTTGTCTACTTTAAGGGATTTCTAAAGCTTGCCTCTTATTAGCGGGAAAATAATCCTGCATTATTTTTAGAATATCAATGCAGGTTGCTCACCAGTTAGAAAAAGGTAATACTCACCAATCATGTATCAGAAACACTTTTCTTTTGAGTCTGGTGTATGTGTCAGTCACAGATTGGGAACTCAGGCCACATCTACATATCAAAAATCACCAGACTATGCATACAGCACATCTTTTTTCCAGCATCATATTGCTCAATTATGATTGCCACAGATCTAGTCAATTGAGGTAGAAGTAGTTGGCCATCAAAATATTTGCAGTTGATATGGTCAGTTTCTACTGAAGCTGCAATTTTTCCTTTCAAAAAATATTAAGAGCCTCTTTCAGAAACAATATCATTTATCTTCTTTGCATTTACTGGAAAGGTGATTATCTGTAAGGTCTTTTGTTTTTTCTCTCTTCATAGCAATAATGTAGCTAGCTCAGAGTGATCTTATAAGAAGAGGAGATTAAGAATATGGAAAAAATCTGTTCATTTCTTGGAAACAAGAAATGAATTTCCCTTTTACCAGTTCATCATTAATTTAATGCCAGCTCCCAAGTATTAGGGCACAGTAATCAATATGAGAAGCCACAAGGGGTCCGCCTTCTGGTTTGAAATGTACAAATTGGATGTCCAACATGCTCCTGCTCTTTGTTCATCCACTGCTTTTTTGATCCTGAAGATCTGACACTGGGAGAGATGGGAATTCAAAATGATGGCAACAATTACTCAGCAATGCAGTCTGTTTTTATTTTCTCCTACTTAATTCATTGATAGTTTCCTCCCTCTCCCCAATTTGATAATATCCCTTTCAACAACCATAGTACTGGTGTTGCAAATAGTTTAGGAAAGCACCCAAAGCTGGATGAAATTGTGCAAAGTGTATTCTCAGCATGTATATTCAATACCATGCCTCTTAAAAATGCTTCTCTTAAAGGGTGCACGCTGTAGCATGAAATGTGCGCATATTTAATGTATCTTCCTGGAATATGCTATGTGCTAAAAATATATATATATTCTATAAATAAAATAATAAAATGTACAATAGAAATACATATTTCTGTATGCAAATAAATATATTATACACAAACTCTTAATATGCAATATGGTATATGTTGCTTCTGAGTAACAAAAGTTGATTTTATATGCTCAATTTTCAAAGAAAATAGTATTTGCATTTGAAGGAAGAGATTTAAGAACAGCCAAAATCCCATATTAAGATTAAACTGTTTTATGATCTTTAAGAGCAGGGCAGATTTTAAATATCCCTTACAGGAAAAAATTAATAACTTTCTGGCATCACTCCATGTGACAACAATGCTTTATTCGCCTGTGCCCCTGACATGCTGCTTCTGACTAGAATCTTCCCAGCTGGTACTGTTCCAACAGCTGTGTTGATCTAGTGTCTGATTACTTGATGAGGTTGCAACCAACCCTTTCTCATACAGTTTCACTCTCTTCCAAATTAACTGATTTTAGTGGAATAAAAAATAATCATACTGGGAGAAAAGGATGACCTTCAGAATGTTTTTCATTCTGACAAGGTAAAATTTCTGTAAGCATCATATTTTAATAAACCACTCTTTCCAATTTGGGTCCAATACAATATCCCATACATTAAATTCCAGAAATGTTTAATAAAGTATAGTATAATATTAGAAGTTTCCCCATGAAATTTTAAGTGGGTAGTTTTTTTTTTTTTTTTTCCTAAGTGGCCTATATTTTCTCAATAGCAATCCTCTTCCTTTCCTTGTTTTCCTCTCGACTACCCACATTTCTGAGAACATTTGCATTGATCCATTAGCACAAATCTGTAGTTACCTAATACAGTTATGATATTAGTTGACACTGGACATGCAATTCCAGGAGATGTTTACATTTTAATATAAAAAGTATACATACTGAACATTTAAAGGATTACTATTACAGTTTTTAGATACCAAGTCATGCAGTGGTAGTCATTTTTAAATTAATTTGAGTTCTCTTCAAATTTTAAGGCACAATTCTATGTCTATTTACTTTCTAAATTTTACCTATAACAATTCACCTTGTGAATTGGTGTCTTTGTCTATACCAAAGTCATTTCTAGAAAAATAAAAATATTTGAGTTTTCTATCAACTCCTGTTAGTTTTATATTGTTCCAGTGAAGTGTTCTCATTTCGTTTTTGAGAACTTGAATTGAATTCTATATCGATGAAATGCCAAATGCTATTCCTGACTAGATGATTGCAAATATTGAAACATCAAAAACATCTTGCCATCATTAAGGAAGAATTTTCTACCTCATAACATGTTTCCAATATTTTCTCTCTTGGGAAGCTTTTAGTGCCATGCTTTTAACACCAGGGATTAAAACTAAACATAATGATAAATTTACTTGAAGTACCATTAGAATAATGTCTTACTTTGTTTTCTGTTGATATAACAGAATACTTGAGACTGGGCAATTTGTAAGGAAAAGAAGTTTATTTGGCTTATGGTTCTGGAGGCTGGAAAGTTCAACATAGGGCTGCTGCACCTGGTTAGGGCCTCGTGCTACATTCTAACATGGTGGATGCAATTACATGGTGGAAGCCTGTGCAAAAGAGGCAAAATACAAGGGACAATCTCACTTTATAATGACCTACTTTTGTGGTAATTAACCTAGACCTGCAAGAATGCACTCTCTCTAGCAAAAGGGCATTAATCCCTTCAGAAAGGGGGACCCCTGATGACACAAATATCTCTCACAGGTCCCACCACCTCTCAACACTGCTACACTTGGGACCAAGTCTCAATATGAGTTTTGGTGGGGACAAACCATACTCAAGCCATAGCACATATCAAAGTTTAAAGACAAATACAATAGATGCTTGACTTCTGTCTGTGATATCTCCACTACAGTATATATTTTAAGCATATATTTTTCTATGATGATCTATATCATGTATTTTTCCAGAGACTGCATTTAAACACATTCTTTTTCTTTTCATAGGAGTATTAAGAAAGAATCATTCTGCTACAATGTTGTTTAGAATTACTGGCAAGTAAAAATTATTTGCATTTAAGAAGTAGTCCATCAACCTCTCTCTCCTTAACATACACATACACACACAAGGAAACATACACAACCACACATACTCAGGTACAGAAACACACATATGCCCATACAAATACACACATATACATGCATACAAACACACACAGGTCTCATCCTGTCTATCTTGACAGTTCCCAGAGGCATAACCTTTCTACTACTTCCAAAAGCATTTGGAATATTACTAGAGTAGGCCATGGAACTCTAGAGTTCAGCTGAGTGGTGTTGAAGAAAAAATTCTATTTGCTCCTCTTTGCTCTATGGTCAATTCACTGCACAGTTTTCTAACTCTGTTAGAATCATATGAGTGAGTTTTAGCTCTCTGTCTGCCACCAACAGCCTTCCAGTTGTCTGCAGGGCATCTCTTCATCGCATACCAGTGATTACATGGGGTAATGGTGAGAAAACATGTTTAAATCAGAGAAATACGTCAGAACACATACCAAACATATCCACAAATTCATATCTTCACAATGGGTGTCCTCAAGCACTGCGCTACTATAAAAGATGGTGCTTTAAATGTCAGCATAATTATCTAGAGTGCTGAGTAAAGGAAACAGTGATACTTTCTCCGCACATTTCTTTCAAAAATCCCTCTCAGACTTTTTTTAGGCATATAGCTCTTTGTACTTATGGAATTGATAGAAATTTAGAAATGAAGCTTACCATGAATATGCAACACATGATCAAATGGTCAAAATGTCTTGTGTCCTGAGTTAATAAACAAGAAAGTCATGTATGCATCTTCCATCATGCAGGAAAAGTAAGATTAACAATCTGATTATTATTATTTTCTTGGTATCTCACTTTTAAAAATTATTAATAAAGAAGTAAATGAAAGTAATTTAAACATCAGATATTAAGTGGTTGAACAATATAATTTCCTTTTTTTCTCAGTCCTACTGGGTAACTTAACCTGCATGGAAAATATAACCTGAACAAGTTTGTATTTAAGCAGAAAAAAATCCATAAGGAATAAAATTTAGAATGAAACAGGAATGATAAAATATGAAGTCCCAGTGAGAAAAGAAAATAAATTATCCCTCAACTCTCTCAAATGATTAATAAAAGTTTAACAGAATTTCTTTTATTGAACTGCTATTATTATTTATTTATGTTTTCTTATGTCCATTTATTATGCTTTTTTCTTATGTCTACTTCATCTCTTTTTAGTATTTTTTTTTATCTTTTAAAACGTTTTAAAGGTAATTTTTATAAATCTTTTGAGAGGGAGGCAAACACAAAAATTGCTATTTTTCTAAGGATTGCTTTTAATTTGTGTTGTAGTTGACACTGCTACTTCAGAAAGCAAAACCAATTTTTTAAAAAAATACAGTCATGCATATTTTAACAACAGGGATGCATTCTGAGAAATGTTTCTTTAGGCAATTTTGTTGTTGTGTGATCATCCTAGGGTATAAATACACAAATCTATATGATATAGCCTACGTATTAGTCAGTGTTCTCTTAGAGGGACAGAACTAGATAGATAGATAGATACATACATACATACATATATAAAGATATGTATAGGTATTTAAATATATATATATATAAAGGGAGTTTATTATGTCTTAAATTACATGATTATAAGGTCTCACAGTAAGCTGTCTGCAAGCTGAGGAGCAAGGAGAGCCAGTCTAAGTCCCAAAACGGAAGAACTTGGAGTCCGATATTTGACGGCAGGAAGCATCCAGCAGGGGAAAAGGATGCAGGCTGGGAGGCTAGGCCCATCTCATTTTTCACATTTTTCACATTCACTGGCAACTGATTAGATTGTACTCACCTGATTAAGGGTGGATCTGCCTTCCCCAGTCCACTGACTCAAATGTTAATCTATCTTGGCAACACCCTCACAGACATGCACAGAATTAATACTTTGATTTCTTCAATCCAGTCAAGTTGACACGCAGGATTAACCATCACAGCCTACTACACACCTAGGCTGTATGGTATAGCCTATTGTATATCGTAGCCTAGACTACAAACCTGTACAGCAAGCAACTGTAATGAATACTGTAGGTAGTTGCAAAACAGTGGTATTTCTGTATCTAAATACACAAAAACATACAAAAGTACAGTAAAATTACAGTATTATAATCTTATGGAATGGAATACTCATATGTGGACACCATCTTAGATGCAGTTTGTCCTTGACCAAACATTGTTAAGTGGTACATGGCTCTACAAGAAAACTGCTGATAACGACACATATGCTAAATATCAAAAAAAAAAAAAAAAAACAGAAAAATATGGGCAAAGTGCAAAAATATACAATGAAAAAGCAATTCTATGTAGTTAATGATTGCCATTTGTAACTATTTGTGAACAATATGCAGCAATTGCCTCTGTGGTCTCATGGGGGCTCTAAAAGTTTGTTCACAGAGTGGTGGACACTGTCCCATGGCCACCCTCTGAAGTAACCTAGACTGTGCTGCTTTAATGCAGATCTTGGCATGCACAATCAGCAGCTGGGAACGAGTCATCATTAGTTATTTGTCCTAAATCAAGAAATGAAAGTCTATCGAGCCCTCTGTTGGGTACAGAGTGTATGAGGAACTCTATCCTATCACAAACTTGGGAGAAATGAATGAAAATAAAATTATTAAAAGTTTCAGACATGATGAAAATGGCATCTAAATTTATGTTTCATGTATGCATACCTATTTGGAAGCAAATTCTAACAAACAGTATTTCTTGGCCATGTACAGGTGAAATACTTCATGTAAATGACAAATTAGGATTATACTGTTACATTAGCTATAATGATTTCTAAAAATTTGAATGACAAAGGAACCTGTTATCTTTCTTATTTGTTTCCACTGCTTTACTTTTTTATGAGTAAGGTATATAGCATTCACTTGAGAGAAATACACACATAGTATAGAATCCTACTCTTTAAAACATTCTGGGCCGGGCACAGTGGCTCACGCCTGTAATCCCAGCACTTTGGGAGGCAGAGGAGGGTGGATCACAAG